TCTAGGCTTTTTTTAAGCAAAAAAGTATCTCTTTCTATTTACCCAAGCTATTCCTTGCTTTCTGCATCATCTGTGTTTTCTTCTGCAAAATTCTTCTACTTTTCTTTTGCCTTTTTATGATACATTTATTCAAACATAGTCTGAATTCCTGAATTGCTTTGACAATGACTGTCTTGGGCAGTGGTATTTCCTTAGATTTATTTTGTAGACTGTCATTATTGCAGAACAAATTCAAATTTTTTTTTTTTTTCTAGGAAAGCCCAATGTTTATATCCAACACATTCAATTACCTCTTTACCCCCCTACCCCTTCTTCAAACACTTTAGCTTCACCTGCTTTCTATAGAAGGTCTTAAGTTGCAGATCTCGAAAGAACACATTTGAAATGGAAAGAAAAGCTTCATGGCATTTTGTGAAATAGCTTATAGCTACCAACGTATGCTAAATGCCCACCACTATCACAAGGAAAAGTCTCTACAGGAAAATAGCAACAACTTCCACTGCTTCTTCCAAGATTTACTGACATTTAAAGATATTCTAACTTTTCTGGAAAGCAAACACCATTCCTGCACTAATTTTATTCATCGTTTATGGTTTACATAATATAAATTTTATTTAGTTTAGTTGATGTTTTCACAGTCCTGAAGTGCCAACCAGGTTTAAAATAATGATGAAAGACAAATAATGATGGAAAGAAAGTTCTTCAGTATTTAATACAAATAGCAGTTAATTCTCTTATTTGTGATAGTTTCTCTCTTTATAATTCTTCATTTTTAAGTTCAAAGCTTTCCCACCTGTGACCAGAAAGCTTTAATGTGAAAGCTGTGAGAAGATGCTACATTCAATTTGGCTTCACTTACCAAGTGATTTTTCTATTTACTTACTAACAGGGTCTTCCTTCTCGGAAACTCTTAATTGTCCTGGAACTCTTTCCTGCTAAGCGCACCTCTGCTGTTCCAGAGCATGACCAGGGATGTTTGTATGTTTGCAAATTATTCGAAGAACAGAAGCAGCCATCTGTTCCTTAGCATGTTCTTTCCCTTAAGCAACCAATTCCTTGTTCTCATGCTCAGAGAAGAATTTGCAATTAGCTCCCAACAAAGCCATCTGGATAAGGCATTGGCATTATCTTGCTTATACCCCAGCTTGTGTATGATTATGGAATTACAGCAGCACATTTTTTCTAACCACCTGGCTAGCTTCTCCATTCAGGATTCCTGAACTGGAAAAGACACTGCAGAGAAGAACAATGCATTTTCCTACCGTTAATTTTCCTCCATGTTAATAGAAAATTTGTGTAACTCCTTTAGTAATTGTACAATAATTTGTTCTATCATTTTTATTATTATAATAAGCTTTAACCCTCTCTAGTTCACTTTCCCTATAATATGTACAGTAGTTTTACAAAACCAGAAATGAGCCTGTTATGTTAAGATAGGACTATATGAGTGGGTACATCATGCATCTTTAGGTTCAGTTTCAATGTCAGCCTTCATCTTAGAGCTGTGGATATATCACTTCTTATTTAAGATTTTCAGCTCTACCAAGATGTCATCTGGCTATAAAAACCTGAGACACATCAAGCATTGCTGTTTGAAATGCAACTAATGCACTGCACAAACCACAAGCCACTACTTAAAATTTATACAGGCCTTGTTTTGCCATATATACTCCTTTCTCTTGGGTTTGGATTTATATGTTCGTCATACAATTCTAAGTGTAAAGTGATATTGAGCACTATTTCATGTCTCTATGTTAACAGGTTAAAAAAAATTTTGAAGCAACTACAGTTAGTTTTCTCATAATGCTCTTCACGTGAAGTAGAT